TGAGTTTCGTTACATTGACTGTAAGTTGGGACCATTTTCTACTAATGCTTGCATCCATTTCCGTTTGATTTCGCTTGTTTAGATAGTGTCACGGAGCAGCATATGCCAACGAAAATTGCAAGCACGTTCTGGCGTGAAACAATGTTCGGATACGACTGGAATCATCCTGCTGATTTGCCAATCGATCGTCAACGAAACTATGAGAAACCACACACTGGCTTTGCTTACACGGCTGGCTTCAAGTTCGATGACGATGTAGCCAAAGACCTTATTAATTATGCTTCAACAGCAAATATATCGTTGCAAGCTCTATCACTCGCATGCTTCTATGTATTTCTATTCAAGATTACTAATGGTAATACGGATTTATGCATCGCCATGCATTGCAATTACCGGCACCTGGTCAAATCGAAAAATATCATTGGAACGTTTGATAATCTGTGAGTTCTTGTTTTTCACACTTCTATTTAGATAGATCCATCTTGAAACACTGCTTACTATAGAATTCCATTGCGTTTTAACCTGGATCCATCGAAGAATTTTGAAGATTTTCTGCATCGATTAGCCGGAGTTTATGATCGCAGTTTAAAACACAGTTATCTTCCACTTCAATGCATTCTTGAAGCATCGTCGACGCCGTCAACCAGCTACTTGAATATTTCTTTCAACTTTCAAACAAACTGCTTCGAGGAACATAATTTGAGTACAGTTCAACTGGGTCATGCTCATCTACAACTAATCAAACAGACTTTGTCCAATAACAGCCCTTATAGTGAGACTGAGATCGTAACAACGTTCGATTTATCGCTTATGATCACTCACGATCTGCTCTTGAGTTCGATTGCATGCACACTCGATTGCTCCCGTGACCTGTTCAATCATACAACTGTACAAACACTTGCTAATCGATTTCATATTCTATGTCGACAACTATTCTGCTCGTCATTTGATTGGCAAAGACAACCTATCTATGAATTGTCTATTCTTTTACCTGCCGAGCGAGAACTAGTGCAAACCCTCAGTCGACCTCACACAACAAACCATGATATTTGTTGTATTCATCATGCATTCGTCCAACAAGCGATGATGCATTCGAGCAAGTTAGCTGTTATACTCGACGATCAGTCATTGACTTATGGCGAACTACTGACTCGAGTACAGCAATTGGCATCAACTCTCATTCAAGAGAAGGGTGTGCAACCAGGTGATATCGTGTGTCAATGTGTTGATCGAAGTATTGAAATGATTGTGGGTATCATGGGTATTATGATGTCGGGTGGTATCTATGCTCCATTGAATCCAAATGATCCTCTCGATCGTCTTCACTCACTCATTCATCAGGTTAATGCCAAAGTAGTGCTTGTCAATCGAAAGTCGCATTCATATGTGAGTCAACTCAATGTGTCTATTATCGACATCTGCGATATTGATGGATCGAATTTCTATCTCAATGATACTCAAATGAGGCAATTGTCTGAGGTTGCTGTCACATCTGAATCTATTTCTCACATTGTGTTCACATCTGGATCGACAGGCACTCCAAAAAGTGTTCAACTACGTCATCGAAATTTCATGAATTACATAGAAACGTACGTTGTGCAGACTAGCGACGTCATTCTCCAATTGACGAGTGTTTCTTTTGATACTCATTTGGAGGAAATTGTTGGTGGTCTTGTTCGAGGAGCTCAACTGGTTCTGCTCAAGAGTGATGGCCATATGGATTTGGATTACGTGACAAAAACTATTCAGCAAGAGAAAGTCACATATGTCGGTCCTGTCCCATCATGGATGAATGCTTTAGGTCGGTTTCTTGATGAGAACTACCACACTCAAAAAAGAGTCGAACAAGTACGATACTGGTATCTAGGAGGTAGGAAACTATATAAGAATATGCAGAATTCCTTCAATGAAGCTTCAATAATTGTAAACTGATAACTGATGTCTTCATTTCACAGGTGAATCACTGCTGAGTTCATCTATTCTTCAATTTTTACCTTATGCCAATGAGCAAAGTCGCTTCTTCAATGTTTATGGACCTGCGGAAGCTACTTTAGTAGCTACTTGTCATGAAATTTGTCGTGAAAAACTTTCAACAACCACCATGATACCTATCGGTTGCCCATTGAAGGGATATCAAATTTATCTACTCGATGACTATCGGCAACCAGTAGTGCCTGGACAGCAGGCTGAAATTGTCATAGGAGGTCGCTTATTTGCTTCTGAGTCAAGTCTGCCTAATCTCTTCTGATTTTGATCTTTGTAGGTGTCGGTGTCTTTGCTGGCTATTATGGGCGACCTGATTTGACGGCACAGGTTCTGATTGATATTAATGGTGAGCAATGTTATTTGACTGGCGATTTAGGTCGACTGGATATTGACTCGGGCGAACTCTTTTTCATTGGTCGACGAGATTTTCAAGTGAAACTTCGAGGTCAACGTATCGAACTATTTGCAATTGAATTGGTTATCCTTCGATCTTCATCAAAGATCATAAATTGCGTTGTCATGAAAGAAGACTCCGAAGATGATAGTTATCTGGCCGCTTATATTCAAGTAGAACAACATATCGACAATAACACTTTCCTTGATGAAATTATCGTCAGTTGTCGTGCTCAATTGCCTTCATACATGATTCCATCGAAATGGTTTCTTGTTCCTAAATTACCGCTTAATGCAAGTGGCAAAATTGATCGAAAACGCTTGCGACAAATCGCCTCAGTGACAGAAACGAGGCTGGAGCCGCAGAAGTTGATGATTTTATCGCCGCTTGAAAAAAAGTTACAAAATATTTTTTTCCGAGCGTTTCGTTTGAACTCAATTCCAGATGTACTGGTGTCATTCGGTCATTTGGGTGGTACGTCGTTGGGTGCCATGCGTGCACTCATCCTCATTCGGCAAGAGATTTTCGAGAAAATGGATATTGGTCTTCTTTTATCCAATCCATCAGTGCGAGAGTTGGCTATCGCGTTAGAACCGCTTCTCTCCAGACTGAAGTTTGATCAAGAAAAACAAGAAGATAAAGATGACTTTTCGATTCGACCTTGTCGTTCGGAGCTTATTGAGACATTCGGCATTTTTCTTCTTGCATGGCAATGGTTTTTGCCTGTTTTTGTGGCGACGAAATTTGGATCCGACTTTCTTCCAATGTTATGTATTCCACTAGTACATTTACTACAGTTTCCGCTGCTAATGACACTTCTCGGAGGACCATTTAAACGAGGTCGCGATACACTGTATTCATGGCATTACTATCGTTTGTGGTTTTTACGACGCCTATGGTCGCTAAACACTTACTGGGTTGGTCATTTGTTAGGTACTCCATTTTATAATGCGTATCTCCGCTTGTGTGGTGCTTGCATCGGCAGTGGCACGCAAATTTACACAAGTCAGATTGACGCACCTTGGCTACTCATGGTTGGAGACTCTACTTACATAGGTGATGAAGTTGTTCTTTCATCTCTCACTTATCATGATAGTATATATGATTTACACCAGATCCGTATCGGATCTTACTGTTCAATTGGAGCACGTAGTGTTCTTCATGATCGAGTCGACATTCATGATGGAGTGCTCGTTGAACCATTAACAGCTGTTACTGGCCCTATTCTCGGTAAACAGCAAATAAAATCGTCTGTGCGTAGTTTGAATTTCTGGCAGTCACTATTTCAATTTATGTTTATACTTGTGATGGCTCGTATACACACATTTCTTCTCGCTGTTAGCTGGTCTGCAACAAATTGGCTGCCAATGTACTTCAGTTTGCCTATTTGTTGGCTTTTCTGGTCTCTTCTTGGCAGCGCCATTGCTCTTCTCATTCTTCGACTTATTGTTGGTCGCGTTCAACCACATTTCTCTCATCCACTCAACTCCTGGAAATTTCTTCATAGATTCTGGCTACGATATTTGGTTCTTAGCTCGTTCGGCCCATGTCTTTCGCCTGTCTTTGACGGGTTCACTTCCTTTGCTCCCATTATTCTTCGTTGGTTAGGTGTTCAAATCGAATGTAATGATATCCAAATCGCTGACTTTGTCCCGCTTCTCACAGTACCACCAAATCTGCTAACAATTGAAAGTGGCGTTACGATTGCATCGGGTGTATGTTTTGTTCCTTATAATGTCACAATCAATGGTCTGTGCATTGTGGCTGGTGCGATTCAAGTCGGCCGTCAATCATTTCTAGGCGACAGTTGTATTCTTAGGTCAGGAGTTTGTCTCCCTGCTAATGTACTGGTTGGCGCCCTAACACGCATCGACTCCACGAGTACCAACGCAAAGGAATGTGAGTAAAATACACTTTCAACGGAATACTCTACAGAAAATTTATTATTTAGATGATATTCTCGTTGGTGTTCCGGCTCGTATTATGCCCTTCGTTTTGCCGCACACTGATAAGTTGTGCACGATAGCGATATCCGAGAAGCACACGAAACGCGTGACAATCAGCGACTGCCAGCCCATTCTCATCGAATGTGCCAATATGATTCTACTTATCGCATGTCTCATTTTCAGTCTGACGTTGACTGATAGTTTCCTTCCTTTTCCATTACTAATACCCGTATTTTTGCTGATCTATTCGTACATTGTTCACTTTACCTATGCATGTTTGATGGATATTAGATTCGGTCAGAGTGAAAGGGGTCAGTCGTTCGATGAGATCAGGGCAAGTTGGTACATAACATGCGCAGCTATGTTGCACGATCATTATGCTAAATGGGTGGGACGCTTGTTTGGTGGTACACAATGGCTCGTCATTGCTCTTCGACGATTTGGCGCGCAGATCGGTGATGATGTTATCATCGAGGATATGAACACCATCCATGATGTCCATTTGGTCTCAATTGGTAGTCATGTACGTCTGTCGTCAACATGTCATATACAGGTAGCTTACTTTCAATAACTATTGTGCATACACCTTTTTCTCTGACTAGTGTCACACATTCGAACAGCGTCACCTGAAACTTCGTCCCGTCACAATCGGTCAAGGTTGTATTTTCAAACCAATGTCCATCGTATTACCAGGTGCTATATTAATGGGTCATAATCGGCTGGCACCTTGTTCACTCGTTTTGCCTGACGATCGATTTCCTGAACATACCGATTGGTTCGGTTCGCCAACGAAACGCATTGTTGTACAACACCAGTTCGAGCAACCACAACAAATTCTCGCTCAACGACAATCATCAGTGGGCACTTACAATGTGTTTGTTGGGCGTTTTGATAATGATATTCTCATCCTTTATTTTGGACAATACGGATGGATGAGTTGGCAGTCGGGCATCGACTTGCGACGGCCATTTAGACCGCATGATCTTTCGATCCAATTGTTTTTCGCAACTTTCCTATGTGCAAGGCAAGCAAAACGAGTACTGATTATTGGTCTAGGTGGTGGAGTCTTGCCCATCCTTATTCGACATTATTTTCCATCAATCCTCATCGATGTGGTTGAAATTGACGAAACAGTCATCGAATTAAGTCTTGACATTTTTGGTCTTGCCGAGCAAACAACAGATGGCCATCTGAATGTTTGTTACAGCTTTTGCTTTCGATATTCAACCAAGAATGTAATTCTCCCTTTTTTTTTTCATTTTCTTTATGTAGATCATCGCAGACGATGGTTTTCGCTATGTGAAAGATACTGTTCAACGTTATGACATGATCTTCACAGATGCATTCAACGGAGATGTGATGCCGGCTCATATGAATACTGAGGAATATTTTATCAATGTGCGGAATATACTAAATGATGGTGGCTGCCTGGCTACAAATGCCAACTTTTCAATAACCAGCGATTTTGATCGTTTAACGCAAGCACTAACGTCAACGTTTGATGCGAATATCTTATTGGCTCACAACCTTATTACAGAAAATGCACGTGTAATCATTTCTGGAAATCGAGCGACTTTGACATCAATTGATTCGAAGGAACATGCTATCCAAGCAGCGCAACGACTTGATTTGAATGTACATTTTGAATTTAGCCTGTCAAAATTACTTTCACTCGCGTATCGAGGTTCACTGAACGATAGCACATCGAACAATTAATAATAATATGACGAAATTCGTAGACTATATCTTTCGAATATGTTAATTTCGCGGATGATAACTGATGATTACAATAGATTATACTTTTTTGGTTTATAATCACGAAACTGAGTGTGTCAAACTGATTGTGATACATTTTATTTTGCATATATCTAAGGAGAAGAGAAAGATAGGGGTCTGAACGTGTTTAAAAGATATGTAATTGAGTTCTCTAAAAATTTCTTGTTAGCGGTGATTCACCCTCATTCCTACCCCTTGATGCTTTACTTTCTATTTTCGCTCTTTATTCTATGATTGCTTTTTCTTTTTTGTCTTCTCTTCTCTTTTTTCTATTCCGTGCGATATATATGAACAAATGTTAAGGACATTTTAAAAAGATATATATTTGAATAAAAGAAACGTAAGCTCGTCGAAGCGAACTAACAATTTGGTACCGTGACCCATCTTCTTCTACTTATCACATCGAAGAAGAACGAACTGGTTAATAAATTTACTCATCCGTAACGGAAAGAGTGAAGTACCATCTCATCCTTTCACGGAAGAGAGAAATTATATATTTATTCACAAATTATTATTAAAATTTAATTACCATAACAAGGTATCTTTCTTATATATAAAGTTCAAATTTTTTTCCTTCCTTTAAGTGCATATATATATTTAACAACGGCTACCGGTACAAGAAGAGCGATTAAACAAAGTGGAGCAAATCATTTATCACACAAATTAATTACAAATTCACCAACAAAAATGCGAAATAAAAAACAAAACGGTATGTCATTTTATGCAAGAAATGGAAACAACCTCGATGAAAACTCGATAACTTCATTCAAGCCAAACAGAAGCAATGAAGAAAATAACTGCATTTTCAGGAGAAGCCAATAAAATTGATATTGGTGAAAGGTTATTCGATTTGAACAATATATTTTCATTAATGAAATAAGGGTGTGGGGTGTGGGTGTGGGTGTGGGTGTGGGTGGGTGTGGGTGAGTGTTGGTGTGGGTGTGGGTGGGTGTGGATGTGGGTGTGGGTGTGGGTGGGTGTGTGTCGGTATGGGTGTGGGTAAGAGTGTGGGTGGATGTGGGTGTGGGTGGGTGTGGGTGGGTGGGGTGTGGGATATGGGTCTGGGTGTGAGTGTGGGTATTGGTGTGTGGGTGTGGGTGGGTATGGATGGTGTGGGTGTGGGTGTGGGTGTGGAATGTGGGTGTGGATGGTGTGGGTGTGTGGGGGGTGTTGAGTGTGGGTGTAGTTGCAGAAGAGAAGTGAACCCACCTCCACTTCCACCCCGCATCCACATCGACACCGACACCGACACCCACCCACACACCCACACCCACACACCCACACCCTCCTCATTTTACATCAAATCTGAGAAAGTACTACATTAGCGAAAATTTTGAAAAAAAAATTGTCAAATTAACTTTTCATCTTTTCCCTATAGAGCATAACCTCAGTATTTTGTGAATATCTCTCTCAAGTTTTGATGCTTTGACTTGAGTTTTTTTTCAAAAGATAGATTGTAAAATTCTCTACAAAATCCAATATGAACAGTTGTCCAAACAAATAGCTTAGGATGGCTTGATATCTGTTTCGTCATGAAGGGAGCACTTATTGGCTTTGTCAAAAAAACCAGCATTAGCAGGAGTGAGATTTCTTTAAAATGTAGTACTACTGATCAGATATGATTTTGCAATTATTATTCTGGAGAGTTATTTTTGTTGAGTTTTGTAGAGAATTTTACAAGCTATCTTTTGAAAAAGATTCAAGTCAAAGCATCAAAAGTTGAGAGAGATATTCACAAAATACTGAGAAGATTATGCTCTATAGGAAAAAAAGATGAAAAATTAATTTGATAGGTTGTTTTTCAATATTTTTACTATTGCAGCACTTTCTAAGATTTGATGTAAATTGAGAGCCATTCCCATTGGACGATAGTTTAGATGCTACTCTTCAAAACTATATCATTGATGACTATTCATGTTGAAATATAACAAAGATAGCAAAAAAATAAAAATGGGGCCGTTACTTATGAAACACCCTTTATGATCATACAAAAAATCATACGAAAAATCGTCGTCTCTGAAATCTTATATCAATACTGACAAAAAGATTTATATGAGTGAAGAGCGCGCCCATTGTACCGTTAGGATTTTTGAAGAAAAATGGCTATAACTCGGGTTCTACTCATCTGATTTTGATAATTTTATTTTAATAGTCTAAGGGTGTCCATTCACTTCTAAAAAAATCAAGTTTCCATCTCTATTAGTTCCCGAGAAATCATAACAAAAATATCAAATACCTGCTTTTTAGTGCCATCTGTCGGAAGAAAACTATTTGCTAAAAATCCATTGTAGTTTTGTTTAAATTATTTTTCCAGCTAGAGTTGTAGAACTCGTCAAGAACTTCCAAAATATGTCTTTCGCTTTAGCTGTACATAAAGTTTGATGACTGAAAAATTACGGGCAACAGGAGTTAAGACATTTCGCATTTTTGTGGAGAGTGACATTAAAATCGTTAGCATTTCGTTTAACGATATTTGATTTGAACAAATTCGATTGCATATCAAAGAGAACTAGGGGGAAAATAATTTGAGAAATAAAAGAAGTCTGTTTCATAAATTTTGTTAATACAAAAATTTCATACAAAATTAAAAAAATCGATGTTCAGACAAAATGTAGAGCAACATTTTAAATTTTGTTATTGCTATAACTCATGAAAACTCAACTCTTTGCCATAAAAAATTGACCATTTTTTAAACTCATAGTGTACAGTAATACCCCAAAAAATCAAGCGAAAATCTTGTTTCGTTCGAAAGAAAATTCAGTTTTACGAACAAAATGTACAGCCGATATTTTTGTGATAAAAGTGTAGTGACATTAAAATCATTGGCGTTTCGTTTAACGAAATTTAGTTTGAACAAATTTGATTGCATCTCAGAGAGAACTAAGAAGAAAACAATTTGGGAAATAAAAGAGGTTTGTTTCCTAAACGTCGTTGATACAAAAAGGGGGGGGGGTGTGGGTGTTCAAGTGGTAGTTTTCGCTATTTGTACCTACACTCACACCCACGCTCACGCCCACCCACACCCAAATTCCTATCATCGAAACGTGTCTTCACGAATGACAACTTATGATGATGGTTAGTTCTACCTGTAATAACATCAATCTATAGTGAAAAAGATTTTTGTGTGTTTAGAATATATTCCTTCATCATCACCATCAACTAAACGAAAGCATGATGAATCTTTGCTTGAATACGGAAAGCAAATGAATGATATTAGCAATTGCTTGGAAACTGTTATGAAACAACAAGGAGTTATTGTTGATGGTCTTCAAGCATTTCGTAAAAGTCATGAGAAAATTAATAAAATGACAACTTCATTACTTCATGCAAATAAACTTGTGAGTTTCTTTAATCTTGCCTTCTTTGATGAATTCGAAATGGTGTTCGTTCAGCGAAAAAGCATTTCCGCGAATGACTTTTTCAGCGAAAAAAAACAGCGAAAAACGATTTAGCGAAAATAATTTACAGCGAAAATCCATGATAGCGAAAAGAAATAATAGCGAAAAACTAAATTAGCGAAAGAACAAAACAGCGAAAAACCTTTCAGCGAATTTTTTTCTTGGTGAGCTCGGGTGTGGGTGTGGGTGTGAGTGTGGGTGTGGGTGTCGGTGTGGGTCTGGGTGTGGGTGAGGTTTGGGTGTGTCGGTGTGGGTCTGAGTGTGGGTGAGGTTTGGGTGTGTCGGTGTGAGTGCGGGCAGTTGTGAATGCATGAATGCTTTTTACACACTCACACCCACACACCCACACCCACACCCACACCCACACCCTTTATATATGTTGTGGTCAAAATTAAAATTCAGTCAAAGAACGAGTGGCGCTAAGGCCATTTTCTATTCCCCAATATTTTTGAAAAAAAATTATATGGTTAGAATCAGCATTAAATTCTGAACATATTACACTATGTTATTTTTTATCGAAATGAAAAAACTTTTTTCGAAAAAAGTTTTGACTGTGGTCCCCTAGAGAATCCTCAAAAAAAAGGTTTTCTTGTCCAAGTTTTGGTGATCTATAGATTATCGACATTGTTGGTCACGAATATAGTATTCGTTTTGCTTTAAAATGGTTGTGGACGTCAAAAAACGGTTGAGAAAGGTCAATTTCTGAGGGTCACTATTGTCGACCTTTTTTAAGGTTTTTTTACCGATTATGACCCTGAAAATCCATATTAGACTATAAAAAAATTTATTCTGATGAACAATACAGGTTGCTCTACTCAAATCATGTGAAATTAGAACTCTAAGGAAAAAAATTGCGCTTTTTTTAGTTCGAGTTGCAAAAAAAAACAAAAAATTGACCAGTGTTTTTCGTTGAGAAATATTTTATGTTACTATTAAGCCTCCATCTCATTAGTTACATACACTGTAAAAAATAGGCGTAGAATAATAAACCCTTCAAAAGGGTTCATTAGCCTTATAAACGCTTTCATATACCCTTTTAGTGTCATAAACCCTTTCATATACCCTTTTCCTTCATAAACCCTAGGAAGGGTATATTATTCGTTGCACTTTCATAAACCCTTTAGGGTATATGAGCTGTAATATACCCTTAAAGGGTTTATTAACTTCATAAACCCTTCGGAAAAGCGTTTATTAATATACCATTTAGAAGAAATCGTAGAATAAAAAACCCTTTTCCGAAGGGTTTATGAAGTTAATAAACCCTTTAAGGGTACATTACAGCTCATATACCCTAAAGGGTTTATGAAGGAAAAGGGTATATGAAAGCGTTTATAAGGCTAATAAACCCTTTTGAAGCGTTTATTATTCTACGCCTATTTTTTACAGTGTACATCATTCGATGCAGATTTTCGTGATCTTTCTGAATATCACCTAAAAATTAAGCAAAAAGGATTACAACATGTCAAAAAATTGAAAATACATACAAAATTGTGATCATCAATGTGCTTTTTATTAGGTCTAGCAAACGAAAATTTTTTTATAAAAAAAATATCGTTAAATCACTAGTAAGATGTGATCTAAAAATCATCTGAGGTTTGAACGTAGATTGCTGAAACAACTGTTGGTCACCGCATGAGCAGTGCTGATCTTGAAGGTAGGTGTGGGTGTGGGTGTGGGTGTAGGTTGGCGTGGGTGTGGGTGTTTATGAAAAGAGGAGCCACCCACACCCACACCCGATCATATCCACCACAGCGACATATAACTACCGACTATCACAACACGCAGCAAAAGTATTGTCGAAAGAACAAGAAAAACCACCTTCCTTCATAAAAGATAGTGTCGAATTGATGAAGAATGTCATAAAAACGAAATCTGATAAAAAAAGACATACTTGTAAGCTTCGATATAGAAAATCTATATACTAACATCCCAGTCACAGAAGCAATCGAAACTCCATTAGATCAATTATACAATGACGGAAAAAAACCTGACTGCCCCAACAATCGCTCTCAATTTAAAAAATTATTAGAATTTGCTTCTCTAAACGTACCATTTAGATTTTTTAATGATAATTATATACAAGTGGACGGCATGACAATGGGGCTCTTCTATTGTCCCCATCCTTGCAGACATATTTATTTCTAAACTGGAAGAAAAACTAAATCGTTTTACTACAAATAGACCAAAAATATGGTATAAATATGTAGATGATGTCTTATGTATATTTAACAAAACACAGAATATCACTGATTTCCTCTCTCTGATAAATAAATGGCACTCTAATATTCACTTTATGATTGAATATGAAAATAATGAACGCCTTCCATTTCTTGATCTACTAATAATTCGTCAGAATAATAAATATGAACCTACAATCTATCGAAAACCAACGACCACAAATTTATACCTCCTCTATGACAGCAACCAGGCAAGAAAATATAAACTCAGTCTGATAAAATCTCTCTACTTCCGATCATTACAACATTGCTTAAACGAGATCTGCTTGAAAATTGAAAAAGATCATTTAACGAAAGTCCTACAAAAAAATGGGTATCCAGTTCACATCATCAAACGAGGAATAAAAGAGTCATATGCTATCTATAAACGACTAAAATAGCTCTCCTCTCAGCCTCAAATTCAAACATCAAAAACATAAGAAATCTATTTTGTCTTTTCTTACTACGGACAAGAATCTATTGAATTCGGACAAAAAATACGAAAGCTCTGCAAAAGACTACTACCTAACATAACTATCAACCTAGTATATAGAAAATCAATGACTCTGCGCAACATATTTCTCCCTTGCCAAAAAGGAAACGATGAAGCTAAGATGTGCCAATAGGCATCTTATCTCATGTGATGTCTTTTCTTTCTCAGTGTGTTGCTATACAATCAATGATACGTAGTGTTCATAATAGCGTTACTTTTATGTTAATCTATGCATGATTAAACCTTCTTCTCCTTCTATATCGTCACTCACTCGTATATTATGTATTGGTCTCACCTATCTATTCTTACGCTATGCCCTTACTCCATTGTTCTTATATATGTGTTCTCTCCTTGGCCTCATCACCTTTTTATTCTTACGTTGTTCTCTCCTTGGCCTCATCTTCTTTCGATTCATTATCTCTTATTCTACTCGTGTATATATGCGTGTGCTTTATACGTAAATGATACGATTGTATGATACACTGTAAACTAGAAAATGAGTTATAGAGTTTAATGGAGGATATTCTAGGAATGCCTATATGAATTCGCCGATGAATTTTTTAATTCTTGAAAATAAGATATTCGAAGCATTAAAAATATGAATTTTGATTTTCTAATTAGAAAATCGAGAGTGAATTCATATAGGCATTCCTAGAATTTCGGATTCGATATAGCAATTCGAGTATTTTTTAAAACCTGGAAAATCGAATTGGATTTTCATATCATAATGAAATATGTTTTATTTTTCTATTTCATATTAATAATATATCATTTATAATTAATGCATCTAAATAAGAAATAAACATCGTTGATCATTAATGCATCAAAACGATTAATAAATATCATTGAACATTAATACATCAAATAATAAATAAATATCGTTGTAACTAATGCATCAAAATGAATAAACATCATTGATCATTAATGCATCAAAATAATCAGTAAATATCATTGGTCATTAATGCATCTAAATAATAGAAAAATATCACTGATAACTAATGCATCAAAATAATAACTAAAAATCATTAATCATTAATGCATCAAAATAATAAATATCATCTAACATTAATGCATAAGAACAATAAATAAAATCAAATCATAGTATCCTATTCAAATTTAAAACTTGAATAATAACTCTAAATAAAAAAATATAACTTATCTACTCACTACGGCTGCCGAAGAAAATAATGAATGCACAACACTATCGGCTGCCTTATATACATGAATGAACAATGACTCTATAGCGGTCATAGTTCAAATGATTTTCCAGAAAGTTGCTTTCATTTTTGACTTTCTCTAGAATTTATATTGATTTTCTAATTCATTTGAAAATCAATTTTTTAGAAAATCAAATTGAATTTCTATATATTGGAAAATCAAGCATTTTCGAATTATTCAAAATTCAATGAATAAATCATAAAACTTTAAAAATGCTTCAGCTTATTTGAGATCGATTTTCCAAGAAGTAGAATTTCAAAAAAATTTACAGTGTATAAAGGAATAGAAGAAAGTGTATCAACATCAACACTAATATCCCTTGTATCATTGATCGTCACAAGACGACTATATGATATGAAGGAATAGAATCACCAACCACCCTCACATTCTTTCTATCATTTTTCGTCACATAAGAAACATAAGAAACTAGTATATGCTGTGAACTGCAAAGACTGTGGGAAAAAATACATCGGAGAAACTAGCCAAAAACTGATTACAAGAATGAAAGAACACCGAAACGACATCAGGAAGAATAAACCAACCTCACTAATCGCTCAACATTGCAACACTAAAACCCACAAAATGGACCTAGACAATGTTGAAACATTAGCACTAGAATCCGTCTGGAAACGCAGAATCATAAAAGAAAGCCTACTCACACATAATACACACGATAAAGCAATAAACGAAGTAAAATACAAAATCAAAATATTCGGATAGCACCCTACGGTGCAATTTTATAGGCCCGGAAACGCCTGTTCTAACGAACAGAATGAGCGCTCATCCTATTATAATCATTCAAAATCAGCCTAGTCTACTCATCCATAATATATAAATGTACTCATCCACACACAATCGTCATTCATTATCAATTCTCTGTTTTTTCTTTTCCTGTGTCTTTGTATATTGTACATATTGTGAGATAATTTCAAGTATTTATTCTGATGATGACAAAAGAATATTATCGAAATATCAATAAATGAATACAATGTGATTAGTTCAAATCATAATGTTTGTAGCAGTTCTTCACTTCATTCTCTCTTCACTTCAATTTTCAACTGCTCTTCCCTCGAATTTTTTAATAGCGATACATGTTATAAATACTCGAATACGAATCAAGGTGACAAGAAAAGTTGTCGAATGCGTGTGCCATGCAAGTTAGTACCGTTCTCGACGATTCATCCTGACACTGGTCACATTTTTATGCGATGCTCCGATCCATGGATCAATAATTTTAACGAATATCTCATCGCCGCTTGCCGTTCCAATATGGATATCAAATTTATTTGGAGTGGCAGTGATGGAAAGGCTCTTGTTTATTATATTACCGATTATGTGAAAAAGATCAGCCTTTCTTTTCATGATACATTTGCTCTTGTACAAACAAGTATTGCATCGTTCAAGAATTCGTCGCATCAAATGGACAATGAAAGTGCAATTGAGAAGTCGCGTAAACTCGTTTTACGTTGTTACAACATGCTTGCTTCTCAACAAGAACTATCTGGTGTTCAAGTTGCCTCTTATCTCATGAATTGGAATGATTATTACACAATGCA